CAACTCATGGGCCATTGGCCACTCCTCGAGTTCTGTCTTTGACTCAGGAATTACCCCTGGTCCAATTGGTTGTGGCCAGGGTAATAAGATCACAAAAGCAGGTGACCTATCTGCAAGGATCCATTTTTGACCACTTTTTTAAAAGGAGATCACAGACATGGGAAGCACTTAGTGTTTCACAGACACCCTTATTGCATAAGACCTTCCAAATAGATGGGATTTACCCTAGTTGTGCAGCCTTGAAGATCTCAAATTGGGATGTACTCTTATAACTAAAATATCCACAAGAGGGTCACATAAACAGATTTTTTTCCCCAAGACTCAGAATCTCTTCCTTGGAAATACACACAAAAATGCCATATTGTGCTTCTCTTAACTTCTCTTTTAAGTTGTATATTGGCCCCTAGATATAGGGCACCTCTTGGGCACCACCATATCCTCTCAACCTGTCTTTGCACTCCATTTGCTATAGCAACCAGCAACCAGATGTGCAAGTTACTGACATCTTCCTCAGCAGCCATTCTGATACACAGGCAAACCTGGAAGAGTAAGGAAATTAACACTCCAGGGAAAACTCTGATCAATGGGAGACAAACGCCTCCTTCTTTGGTTCCCTCGGGTGATCTATTCTGAGCCACATTCTGCGCGGATCCTCAGAAGGTCCCTGGCAGGACTTGTCCCCAGTAGCCCACAGCAGTGACCAATTCAATAACGCACCCTTGGATTGTCTTTCCCTCCTTCCCCGTTTCCCTCCTCCTAGTCCTACTTCTGCTCCCTGAGATCACTTCCCAAATTGAATTATCTGCATAAAACCCTCGTTTGAGGCTCTGCTTTTAGGGGGGCATCTAGTCTAAGACAACCATGCTTTCCAATTAAGATAGTCTTTCTTTGTACAAGGGGTTCCTATGATCCAGGAAACATGTCTTACTCTTTAATTCGTTGAATTAATGAGTAATCTTCAGAGAGCAAAACCATTTCCTTTTATTCCAAGTATTTTATGAGCATCTTCTTTTCACTCCGATATAGCTGAATACCTGAAAGAAAATGGAGGCAGAGCAGCAGTCCTATGAGAAGGACTCAACTCCAGGATCTCCAAGCGCTACTCTACCTTTGAACTAGTGATTCTTAGCCCTTGGCTAAGACCATCACAGGGAAGCTCCATGAAAACACTTTCTCTCTGCCTGACCTGCTAAATTAAACTCTCCATGTAAAGCTTAGGCACATGAGTCTTTCCAAAGTACCCCAGTAATTCTGGTATGCACCCTCAGTTGAGAATCACTGATTTAGACTCATGAATCTACTCAAGAAGGAAACAGGACCAAACAGGTATTAGTGCTACCTCAACTAAAATATAGTCAAGAAGACAACTGACACTTTCAAAATGAGTATGATGAAAAATGAAAATTAGCTCTCTGCAAAAGAGGGCACAGAAGCACTCATTACAAAGAGTAAACAGGTATAACAGGATTGTTATAACAGGATTGTGAAATCCAGAATGATAATGAAAATGACAGGAATCCATTCATTTATCTTTTGAGACACTATGATGGCACCATAGGAGATATAGAAGATGAAAAGATGAATGGAAAACAGTCTCTGCTCTGAAGAACAGATGATAATAACACCAGTGCATTGAATGCGATGTAAAGAAATCACAGTTTTATTTATTTTCCACTGTTCAGTGAGGGAAGTTTCTCCTCTTCTTGCATTTGAAAACCCTGGCAGCTCTATGACTCTATCAATCACTCCTAAGTTAAACGCAATCTTAAGTTTTCTTTAAGTCACAAACCACAGTTTCAATTCAATAATTTGAATGTCCAATATTGTGGAACTTCAAATCTCTGAACGTGACTTAGAGTTTGACTTTCTCCCCTCGTCCAAATAGGACCAGCTTCAGGGGCTGTTGTGCCATCTCACAGAAGCCAGTGGTTAACTTTTCCTCTCCTCCTCTACTCTTTGCTTAGCTTGTCTATTGTGGATTCCGGGACTTCAGGGTTGGGCATGGAAAGAGAGGAGAGAAAGGAGCTTTCAGAACATTCCTACTTGATGGGTCCTCTTGTAAGATAGTTTTATACGCTCTGGGCCTGGCTGTCATGAGAATTGACTCTTGTGGGGACACTTGTGGGGTTTTTTCAGAGACTCTCAAGCTAGCCCTTTCTGACTCTGACTACCCCAACACAGGCAGTAAATTTCTTTTGGTTAGTCAATTTGACTCCCATTCTGCTTCTGTTTTCTGGCAATCTCTGTGGCATTCCCTCACTCTCTGGTCAAAAGCATCTTGAGCAGGGTCCAAGGCATTAGATTCCTCAGGAGTGTGTCAAGCTCTCAAAGGGGTCTCCCAGAAACCCCTCTCATTAGACTTGGGATGCGAAGGTAGCATGCTGTCCCTCCCCTTTAGGGTGACTTAGACTCAGAGCGTGGCAGTTCTGAAGAGATCTCTTCACAAATCTCCCCCTTCAAAAACCCCTCCCCACTCTTCTTATACCCTCAAAACTGGTGAGGAGTTTCAATAGAGAAGAAACTGGTTTTTAGGTCTTGCCTTTAAAGTTTCCCATTTTTCTCTACCTCAGGATTTACCTTGGTAAGTGATATGTAATGGAACTTAGCACCTCAGGTAAACCACGTAATTTAACAAGATGGCATAATTGCGATGTCATGTGGTGAGTGCTGGCATTGGGAGAACAAAGAAGAGGGCCACCTCACCCAGCTGGAGGATGAAGGGTACAGGAGCAGGAGATTTCTGGAGAAGGTAATTCCTTATTTGACTCTTCCATTTTTTTTCATTCAATGTCTTTTTTTTCCAGTTTTATTGAGATATAATTGACACACAGCACTGTAAAAGTTTAAGGTGTACAGGATAATGACTCGACTTACATATATCATGAAATGGTTGCCGCAATAAGTTTAGTTAACATCCATCACCTCATATACAAAAAAGAAAAAGACAAAAATATTTTTTTCCTTGTGATGAGAACTCTTAAGATCTACTCTTAACAACTTTCATATATACCATACAGCAATGTTACAGGCCAGCCCTGGTGGTCACGGGGTTAAGATTCAGTGCCGTCACTGCCGTGGCCTGGGGTCACTTCCCAGTCAGGGAACCACACCACCCGTCTGTCCGTTGTCATACTGTGGCTGCTGCATGTTGTTGTGATGCTGAAAGCTATGTCGCCAGTACTTCAGATACCAGCAGGGTCACCCATGGTGGACAGGTTTCAGCAGAGCTTCCAGACTAAGACAGACTGGGAAGAAGGACCCGGCCACCCACTTCTGAAAAGATCAGCCATGAAAACTCTATGAATAGCAGCAGAGCATTGTCTGATAGAGCACAGGAAGGTGAGAGGATGGCGCAAAAAGAACAGTCAGAGTTCAGGTTGCTAGAACTTGGAATCGACTTGAGGGCACTAACGACAAAGTCAACCTGAGGGCACTAACAACAAAGTGTTACCTATAATCATCATGTCGTATGTTACATCCCTAGTACTTATTTATCTTATAACTGGAAGTTTGTACCTTTTGACCATGTTCGTTCCCCTTCCCCCAACCCCTCAACCTCTGGTAACCACAAATCTTATCTCTTTTTCTATGAGTTTGGTTTTTTGGGGTTTTTTTTAGGTTCCACATATAAGTGATACCATGCAGTATTTGTCTTTCTCTATTTCACTTAGCATAATGACCTCAAGGTCCATCCATGTTGTTGCAAACTGCAAGACTTCCTCCTTTTAAATAATATTAATATTTATTAAATAATTTTCCATTGTGTACTTATATATATACCACAACTTCTTTATTCATTCATCCATTGATGGATGCTTAAGTTGCTTCCATGTCTTGACTATTGTAAGTAATGCTTACAATAATGTAAGTAATGAACACGGAGGATGCAGATATCTCTTTGACAGTGTTTTCATTTCCTTTGGATATATACCCAGAAGTGGAATTGCTGGATCATAGGGTAGTTCCATTTTTAATTTTTTGAGAAATCTCCATCCTGTTTGTTATACTGGCTGAACCAACTTACAACCCCACCAACAGTGCCTGAGGGTTCCCTTTTCTCCACATTCTCCTCAGCACTTGTTATCTTGTCTTTTTGATGATAGTCATTCTAACAGGTGTGAGGTGATATCTCATTTTGGTTCTGATTTACATTTCCCTATTTGACTCTTTCTTGATGGATGTGTTGGAGGTATGTAGTAACGTGATGACTTTGGGGGGGACATTTTTTTGGAGGGAGCATGCTCAAGAAGATACCCCTATGTAAAGTAGATTACATTTTTAGGCAGATTGAAAAAACAAAATACAAAGACAGTCTTAGTGGGTTCTTTAATTTCCTCATTTATTCTCTAAAGTTCCTATAAATTTATGAATGTAAATGCACCTGTAAAATCAGAACTCTATACTATTATTGATTAATCCCGGGGCATTTCTTAAATTTCACTTATGCTAAGAATAATAAGCTTTGTTTTCCAAAGAACTGTGTGAAAATGGTCATTTATAGATTTAAACTATATCCTGATAAAAACTGACCTTGGGAGTTGAGAGGTATGAGTAGTTTGAAATGATGATATCATTTAAAAAGGAGTTCAAATAGGATTTAATGGACTGTGAAACTGTAGTTTTAAATTAATGAGTGTACCCAGTAAAAAGTTTTTTGTACTGATAAGGAATGTGAAAGGTCAACTGAAATATTATAATTATCTTAATAGCTAAAGCATCTTGCTTATTAATATGTCAATTATTTTGACAGTTTTTTGGGGAGGTGAAAGCAAGGAGCTCTGTCTTTTAGCATCCTTATCAAATCATTATAAATCATTTACCAAGTGCTCACACGCATGCTACCCATGATGGACGGTGCAATCAAAATGCATGCATCATCTGGGCTTCAAGGAAATTTTGACTGAATGCTTTAAAGTCACAATTATATGCCTAATACTAGATCTTGATTTGATCTGTCAAAGCTTTGAAAGTCATTACCCAAAAAGAAAAGACAACAGACATCTGGTCAATCAACTTTATTTTTAATTGCCCAAATGTGTACTGATCTTTGTAGCCAGACATAATGGAGGATACAAAAGGAAGAAAATACAAGATTCCTCTCCTCAAAAAGATGAAAATCAGCTGAAGACACATTGCACAAGACAATAAGACTGAATAAGATGAGTAGCATCTGAGTAGTGCAAAACAACTTAGTACAGATTAAACCCACAGAAAGGGACACCATCAGCAACTACAGCAGGGAGTGGAGGAGAGTGACTGGGAGATGCATTCTGGGAGGTGGGAAAAGCAATAGACCTATATGCTAGTCCCCAAAATATCAGTAGCTTGTTGTGGACCTTGGACACAAGTTCCACGTCTCTCGGCTTCAGTTTGCTCAACTTTAAAACAGAAGATGAGGACTAGACAGTCTCTAAGGTCTTCCAGCTGTAACAATACAGGATTCTAAGGACAAATACAGAGAACTTGGAAGATGAAGATGTCACAGGTAAGAAGGACAAGCACAAAGCCACAGAGATGGGAAAAACTAGTTTTTTGTGCATGGGCAAGGTGTGTCGTGGGACAGCAAGAACCTTAAACAAGCCTGCTTAACTACTGTAAAGATTCTGGGGGCAGTAAGCTTGGAAATGGGTGAGACAGAGTGCTAAACCAAGTAAGGGAGAATAAGCAAGGGCCAAAAATGGACAAAGAGATACTGTGTTTCCTGTGGTTTGAAGTCTGACATAGCTTCAAGCTCCCCTCCTCACTCATCAGTCTTTATGTCTTCATGGAACTTTATCGCAACCCCTTCCCCAAACCCACATACCCAGTAGAGTAAGAAGAGGATGCAGCTACAGGTGCCCTCTCTTTAGGCCCGCACAAGTAGCCCCCTTTTGTGGGCTAGGAAGCCAAGAGCAGCTGCGGAAAAGATGGTGGTCAATCCAATCAGCCTCAGCAAGCCTGGCACAGAGGGCAAATGTCTCTCCAAGAAGGTCGTGGTAATAGGCTGCGCAGGGACATCCTGGGTTCAGAGAACATCTGGTGTCAGTACAGGGCTTGTGCACTTTGCTCCAGAAAGTCTGTATTTCCTCCAGTTCTCTGAACATGACCCACTCTTGCCAACCACTAGGCCATTAAACATAATGTTCTCTCTGCTCAGAACACTTATCCCCAATTCCTAGTGGCCCTTTTACACTTAACTTATTCTGACTCATCCTTCAAGTCTCAGTTTTTATCTCACTTCCTCAGGGAGCCTCTCCTGCGCTCCCAAGCTAAGATGGGACCCTCTTTTTACATTCTCAGCGTGTCTTCTTCATTGCACTTGTCCTTTTTGGTTATCATCTGTTCCCCTACCACATGTTGAGCTCTGTGAAAGCACTGCCGTACCCTTATCACTGTGGCTGACACAGAGTAGGTGCGCAATAAATACTTGTCAAGTTGAATGAATCTACGGTCCACTCAGCCCTCCTCCCACCTCTGACGGAAGCACTAAGAGAATGACTTGGACTGGCAGGGCTATTCTTTTTGACTTCACACTTGATAGAAAAATAACTTTGACCTTTTTGACCCCTGTCCTCTACAATGCATTTCACTCTATCCTCTATGTGTCCTTCCTTCCAGTCAGGAAAACTTCCTGGGGTTTTATCATAAAATGATAGCGCATATATTGAAAATGCATTTTTAATCTAAATCTGCTCCATTTCATTCCAACTCTTTGCCCCGGGACAGGGGGTGCTGACATATCTTCCTCTCATTTCCTACCCCCTGCTGAGAATCAGCAGGCTAGAGATTTATTCATCGTGCATTTATTGAGTTCTTAATGCCTAGAACTCTCTGACCAAAACAAAAATCATATTTTTTCCTAATAATCTGCAATGGATGTGGAAGCTACAAATTTATTAAAGTTCTTCTAAATCTCTCACCTCTACCCTAATCCAGGGTATCTGTTTAAATATTCATGGATTGAATCACTTAGAGAAAGGTATGTGAACATATACAAGTGTGTTCTTTCGCAAATAATTGTTTTTAGAGGAAAGAGATTTAAATTCACGAAATAAAATATAACCTACCACAGACTCTGGTTCTGACTGCCAGATTTCATCCTCTGGGATCTTCCCCAGGGCATGCAGGATCTGAAAAAAAGAGTACCTTGGCAAATAACGAAAGTGACACCATCTTTCTCCTAAACTGCTCTTTAAATAAAGGACCAACTGAATGTCTCTTGGGATATTCATCAAAAACCCCAGGGTTAAAGCCAACATAGTCCACTTAACCTTTAAAAGGCTCCAAAAGGTCTTTCATTTATGGTGTAAGAAGCTCCAACCATTGGGCTCCCCATAAAATTTAGTAGTTGTGAACACGCCCTGATAGAGATGAGATCAGAGGAATTGTTGGGAAATATATAAATGAATTCTGAGCCCCAATATAAATTGCTTGGTTCTATAATATTAGACCTAGGTTCTCTCTCAAGGATAGCTGGAGTGATCTTTTGCCCCATGGGCTCTTTTTACCTTGGGTGACATGATAGATATTTTCATTGTTACTTCTAGGTTAAGGTGTTCACTTCACCTGAGACTACTGTTAAAATGGTGTTTCATATGTCTTCAGATGGAGGTTGCTGGAGAGTTGGTCTCCAGGATCTCAGACATCTTTGACCTGCTTGTCAGGCCCATGAGTTGCCTCCTTCCCCACAGCCTGTGACCCCAGGCCCTACCTCTCGGGCTGCTCTCTCCCCGGCTTCCACAGCCCCCTCCATGTAGCCACTCCAGTGTGTGGCAGTCTCGGTGCCTGCGAAATAAATCCTGCCCACTGGCTGGCGTAGAACCCTTGAAACAAAAGCAAAGAGGTAAAAGTGGTCAGTCTCAGAGAGCCAGAGAAGAGCCTTCCCATGAAGACCAAGGCTGGTCAGCTTCTTCTCAGATTCTAAACATCAGGAGTACATTGTCAACAATGGAATAACGTTCATAGCTTCCTCTAGCTCTTGCATGATCCTTGTCACAGACAAAATGAAGTAAAAGCCAAAGTCCACTCCTGCACCAAGAGCTAACAGATAAATGGACTGACATCAATGGAGTGTGTATTTGCTTTCCCTATATGAAGTGAGGGATTGTATGAGCCCAGTCATGTAGTCACCAGCTCTGAGCAAGGCAACACGTGCCCCCAGTTCCCTACCTGGTATTCCACCAATGAATCTGGCAAATCACTTCCTCTCACTGAGCTCTGGCTTCCCCATCTCTTAAATGGTATGGTCCAATGATTTCTAAGACCTTTTCCGTCATTAACACGCAACAAATCTGTGAGTCGGACTATGGCTCCAAAACTACCATTCGCTGAGCACTTACCTTTACCCATGTTAAGAGTTTTACTATATTACATCATAAAAGTTAGTATTTGTTGGGTGCCAAGCACTCTTCTAAGTGTATTAATCTTCACAACCCTATAAGGTCAGTACTATTATTACCCCCATTTTGCAGATGAGAATATGGAGATACAGAGACTGTGGTGGACATTGTGGTGCACTGCCCAGACCCCCTTCAAGAATGAAGGACTTATTCCCAGCTGCTGGGAGTGCTGCCAAAGATGGCCTTCTGATATCAGTCCTCTTTGGAGATTGTCTCCACTGAAGAAAATTGCCTCACTCAAAGTCATGCTTCCTTCCAGCAGCAGTTGCATCCAATGACTGATTATCACAGGGCTATAAAGACCTGACCCCCTCAATCCAACTTGGAACAACTCTTAAGGGGCATCTTAGCTCCAGAGCTCCCTGTGGGGTCAGCTGAGGCCTTCATTGGAACTGCATCACAGCTCAACCTCTCCCTCTGCCCACTCCTGCTTCCTTCCTCTCATTTATACAAGTGTTGATACCAAGGGTTCTCCCTGATACATATCCTATATGCTAATCTTTGTTTCAGAGTCTGCTTCTTCGGGAATCTAACCAGCAACAAAGACAAAGTAATCTGCTCTAGGTGACAGCTAGTAAGTGGCTGAGCTGGTATTTGAACATAGGCCATCTGAGTCCAGAACCCACAGCCTTAACCACTCGGTTATACTTCTTCCCTCTATTGAATTATATCTTTAATCTTTTTAAAGAACTCTATGACATAGCTACCATTATCATTACCGCATTTTACACACGAGGCTTGGAGAAATGTATGGTGACTTGCCAAAAGCCACATTGCTAGAAAATAGCAGAGCTAGGTTTGAACTAGGTCTGCCAGATGTCAAGGTCTCTGCTTTTATCCTTTATGCTTTGCCTAGTGTATCATCATCACTACTTAACAAAAAGGACTCATATGCTACACAAAGGGACAGAAGTGTCATAGCACTTGGCTTCTAAGAGGGGCAGTTTGTCATTACCCTGACAAAAATACCATAAGGGAAGCAGCGTCAACATATTATTCATCCTATCCCAGGTTGGCATTATATCAGGTAAGGGATGTGGATGTCCATAGCTGACACTCATGCTCTATCTTTGTAAATACTGCGCACCACCAGGCCTTTGATCAGAAAACCAAACAGCTGACTTGAATTGATAGGTTTTCCTTCACCAGGCCTTATTGTAGCCATCAAGAAAAAAAGCAATAGAAAATAAAAGAGAAGATATTATAGAATACTGATAATAATACATGGAATAATCTGGAATGATCCATAGCCGGCATGGGCCGGAGAACCTAAGGGTACTCAAGAAGGGTTCCGCAAGAGAAGGTAAATTTGCTTTCTCCATGTTCATTAAACAAAGTTGCTTTCTCCACATGGTCACTTTTTTCAAACAGAGGGAACTAACCCCAAATTGGAAACCTCTGGGAGGCCTGGCCAAATCCTAGATTTAAATATTAGAAAAGAGAATAAAGTTAGAGAACCAATCACACTAACAAGTGGAATGTAAAAATGTAAAAACCAAGAATTAATTTCAAATAGACAAAGATATTTTTCTTCCACCTGTCATGTGGAAATCTTTCCCTGGGGGGAAAAAAGTCCAACAGCTGGAGAAGAAAAATCCCTGCCCCTTCTTTTGCAGGTGAGTGAATATTTAGTATATATTCACAAAATGGGTGTTTCTCTTAGCTTGGTGCAGTAAAATACTTGCTTATGTGTTTTACTGCTTAATCGCTATAATCAGTTTTTCAGTCTATCCAGAAGTAAAATTCCTTAAGAAATGTGTGTTTATTTTTTTTACTAAAGTTGTACTGTCAATGGTATCCTCTGTCTTCCATCTAGAAGCAGAACATTTACTGTGTATTTCCAGAGCCATGAAGTAAAACTCCTTGTAGTATCCCAAAGGTCATGGACCTGAAGGGTCAAGGGAAGCCCTGTGGGCCGGTAGTCCTTACTCAGGCTGGGAGTTATGTCACTAAGATATGCTGTGCCTTAGTTTCTACCCTACAAATGGAAGCTAGTGATATGAAGCCTGACTCATGTCCTTGGGAAGGAATAAAGATGAAAAAGGACATCACTTGTCACCACCCATGCCTGATACAATGAGATTTATCTTGCTTCTCTCAAGTGGTCAGGGTCAGACCAGTGCAGGTGAGTGTCCTTTTTGCTCCCCCTACCCCATTGCCCAAAAGGCATTTTCCTGACACTCCTTATGGGATTGAGCGTGAAACTTGCCACTCCGTGGTCAGAAATCTAATCACATCACAAAACCAAAAACAAAAGTAATGCTCTGATTGGCTTTTCTCTGTTGAAAGGTTAAGTTTTGTATTCCTGAATGTATTATATGTGGCAAAGGATTCTATCTATCTTTCTGATTCTCCATTCCATTCTCAATATCACCCAGAGCCCAGCCATGCAGAACTTTTCCCCAGACATTTCATGACCTGGTAGGATTCCAAGCATTTGCTCCTACGGTTCCACCTGCCTAGAGTGCATTCCCCTATAGCCTTTCTCTGCCTTCTACAATCCTTAGATTTCTCTAGGTAAGGCTAGCCCGTCCCTCCCTGGGCCCCCATGGTATTTCTACGCCCCTCTACTAGAGTGCTTACCACAGTACGTTAGAGTCAATCTTTGATATTCCTTCCTCTCCCCAGCCCAATCCCAGCCCCCAACACTGTTAGCTCTTTCACAGCAGGGAGGGCTTTTCTCCATAAGGACGTTTTCAGCAGACTGCTCGGCAAATGGTTGGCACTTAACCAATAAATGGGGAATGAAACAATTAATACTGGCACATCCTGTACTCACTATATCTAAAACTTAACTTAATGACCCAGGAGCTAATCAGGTGGTGCCCTCTGGCCCCAGAATGTTCTCGTAGATGATATTTTGCCATTGTCAGGAAGATAAAGAAAGTGCTAACCCAAGTCATTATGTATCTTCTCACAAGTGGGTTTTAATCCTTCTCTGACCAGCTTTCATGGACAGATTGATTAGCCATTTACATTTACTCAAACCCTCTTTTTATTGCACACTCTCAACGGCTTTTACTCACTACTCTACATTTCCCATTTGGTTCCGATTGAGCTCCTGGCATCAAATTATTGCTTGGTTTAGTATTACTATAATGGTCATAATAATTACTGTTACAGCAATCATTCATACCTTGTTGCTGTCAACAAATACAATTAACTAAACACCAATGAGTCATCCTTGGATGCACAGCACTGTGAATGTTAAAAGTCAATGAATTGTGTGTGTTGAATGGGTGAATTGTATGGTAAGTGAATTATATCTCAATAAAGATGTTAGAAAATAACTCATGCTCTCATTAACATGCTGCTTGCTGTCTTTGTATGCCATCTTGTCCTTTTTATTTACCTGCTAAGGAAAGTGAGGTTCAGAGAGGACAAGTGACCTGTCTATGATACCAAAGTTGGTTATTGGTAGAATCAGGACTGGAATGCAAGTCCCTTCATTCCGAGTCTAGAACTCATTTTGCTTTTATAATGCTGTAGCCATGTTGGAGCTTACACAGTTCCATTTGAGGAAGTTTTACTGAGCTCTAAACTCAGTATTAAGATACTTCTGACAATATAAGTGAACCTGCTGACCGTCTAAATTCCAATTCCTATGCTGCAACCTTCTTTGGTTATAGTGATTGGGATTGCTCCTTCAGAGGAATTGAGAGTGAAAGGCACCACCATGATGCAGAATTAAGATGACTTCATTCATGAGATTCACAAGATACAAAGGAAATTGGGGATTTTTTTTTTTAGCATTTGCAAGAAACAGGATAAGAGCTACATGAACCTATTTAAAGTTTGGATTCAGGCTCAGGGAATTTCACTTAGAGCTTAGTATATGTTTACTCTACCTTCCATACTGAGTCATGATCCCTGGGGGGAAGTAGGTTGTGTAGCAGCCCCCTGAGTACTGCTCCTCACACCAGTTCTTCTCTTCATAGTGCACCGGCTGCAAGACAGAACAAAAAAAACTCAAAGAAGACTCACAGGAAGCTATCTAGTCTAGAATAAATCACAGTCTTGTCCGCTTTATATTGGAGAACCAATATATGCCTGAAGTAGAGCCTTATTATCCTGATGTTTTTAGAGATATGTCCTTGGGCAGGTAAATGTCCCTGGTGATAAACTTTTAAGAAGTTCTGACTTGAGAAAGTTTTCTCACTTGGTTCATTCATGTCTCAAGTGCTGATCATAAATTGCAATTGTCTAGTTCCATTTTTAAATTAGTCTTACCTATTGAGAAGTTTGCAGTGCTAACGGTTTCAAGGCAAGTTTAAAAAAGGATTTATGTTTACTGAGTGAGTGGAGCAGGAAAAAGCAGAAAAACATGTCTATCAAGGAAAAAGGATGACCAGATTCATGTTTCTCGTAGAAGTGAGGTTTGTTAAGGGAAGTTAGACGAACTAATATTTTTGCAGGATATAGGCACTTCTGTCGATGGTGGTACATGCAAAAACCATTGGCCTGAAAATATGTTTTTGCCATGAACAGGCAAAAATTAGCTGAGATCTTGCAAAGCTCAAGCTCTTTATTAAAATAACTAAACATAAACATTATCATTAAGCATTATTTTGAAAAGATAAAATCAACGTGGCAAGTTTAAAGAGAAAAACGTTAGTTCAAAAATAGATTTTGAAAAACTGTCTTATTTAAAAAATTCACAGTCACACATGGGACTTTAGATAGTCATTTGTACCCTATCTTATTTACAAAGCACAAGGCCATGCCCGAGAGGCATAAGTGGCTCCAGGCCTCTAGGGTTGTTCCCTGCCTCATGCCCAGCCCTCTTCCTTCTGCATCTGAGGGTGACAACCACCTCGTGAGCACTCTTCTCTGGCTGTTTCCAGCCAGAAGAAAGATTGGACTTCATCTTTCACCTTTCCTTGCTCCAAGAACTTGTTTCCTTCCACACAACAGACACCAAAGCAAGAGTAGAGCAAGTGCCCCTTTCAACGCCAAGAGCAAACAAGGACAGGAGCAACTCAATTGTAGCATTAGCAATCATCATCCACATTCTTCTTAGAAAAAGACACTTTCCCAAATTAAAAATGACCAACTGTTTTGGAAATTTGAGAACAATTGCTTTCCTCTCTAACTGGGGTTCCCAGATAACTATCTCCCAGGTTGTTGAAGGAATCTCCAATTACAAGACACTGCTGACTGAGAGTGTCTCAGAACGTAATTTCAAAAAAGCTTGAGTATCTACCAGGGTAAAATCTCCTGAACAGCATTTTTAAACAGAAAAGCCAGTAATTTTTTTCCTGCTTTTTTTTTTCTCCCCAAATCCTCCCTGTACATAGTTGTATATTTTTAGTTGTGGGTCCTTCTAGTTGTGGCATGTGGGACGCTGCCTCAATGTGGCCTAATGAGCAGTGCCATGTCCGTGCCCAGGATTCGAACCCTGGGCCGCCGAAGCGGAGTGAGCAAACTTAACCACTCAGCCATGGGGCCGGCCCCAAACCAGTAATTTTTAACAGATGTAAAATGACTCTTTTAGTGTGCATACATTTCTGGTTCTGCTACTTCACTCACACTAACTACCCTTGAGCCTAGAGGCTACACTCAGAATTAAACTTGCTCAGTGGTATAGGAGAGCAAAAAATGAATCAAAACACATTTCTCATTAGGACCGTTTCTCTCCAAACCAATCAATTCATCATCTTGTTCATTTGCTGAGAAAGAACTTGAAAAATCCTCAAGAGCACGTGTTTCACCTATTCCAAGTGCAGGAAAAAAAATCTTGCTTTAAAAGAATGAACGAAAATGACAAATTCAAAAGCCATAGCAACTTGACTAGGAGGAAGCAAGCCACTGCGAAGCTGAGCAAGATTAAGCGTTAGAGTAATAATACTAAGCTAAGCAGCTGCTCAACTAGGGCATGGCATGCACCGCAGAGATTTGGATGCAAGAGGCTTAACAAGTTAAACATTCTTAGCCCCCTCGTTAGATTTTTCTCACGCTTTAACTGCTCATTTGTATATCGGTCTCCACTGTCTTCAAATGCTTCACGGAAAACAGGATTTAATCATCTCTTTCAAAAGGTGATTTAATCCATGTCAAAACATTTAAAACCCAGCAGGCTGGTGAATGTAAAGAGAACACCAATCCATTGCTTTAAACATTGATGAGGGAGGCGGTCATGGCTACTGGTTATAAGCACATTGGGCCCTCTGACTGTCACCAGATGCCCCTACCACACTGCCTACCCCACCCCATCCCTCCTCTGACCAACTGAGGGGTGCTACTGGTTTCACTTGAAGATCACAGTTTCCTTAGGCTACTTCCAAAGGTGCCTAGGAAACTCAGCTGACAGGGTTCACCTTGAGTCAACCCACGTGTCTTCCCTACACCCCTAATGTTCAACGATAAAACAAGGCAAAAAGGATGTGCAGGAGGGAGGCAGGCCACCCTATTTTTACCTGCGAGACAGTGCAGGGTTGGGTGAGTGTTAGGGAGTGCTTCTATGCTAGTTTATGTACACAGATGAGACTCTGGTCTCTTTACAAGATCAACAGAGAAGGAGAAAGCTCTTTTCATCCCCATCATGGCTGCTAGGATCTAGGAGCTCACTGAGGGTAGCAGAAGCTCCCCTCTTTTACCCACTGACAGAGCTGGGAGCAGAGTAGTCCAATGCTGTGCTCTAGGAAGAGCTCAGAACTCAGGGACAAGCATAGCACCGCCTGAAATACAACAATGTTGCAGGGTCCCTGAGCGGTCACCAATACACCCAGGGCCCATACTCTCTGGGACAATTTATACGTTGACCAGCCCTATGCAGACCACTCTGAGAATATATGAGGGAAAACAGGAGCTCTCAAGCCCTATTTGCATGGGCCTATCCCTGAAGGGCCCCTTGAGGACAAAGCAAGATCTTTTTCTCCCTTAGGAAAGGATTGGGAGGCAGCCTTACCTGCAAAGCTTCTTGGGAGCCCAGAACTTTGGCATACAGCTCACAAAGTTTCTTCAACCTATGAAAGGAGGGGGGGAAAAGACAAAAGTGAAAATGAAGGCAGGAAGGAAGTGAAAGAGGCACTATCCCCTCGTTCAAAAAGATTGTGAGCTATTGCTTCCACGTGACATTTCATTTTAATTTTTCAAAAATTAAAATGCATCACTGGGGGCACATGACAATTTATTCATTCATTCAAGAAAACACTGTGTACCTCTTAAGTGTCAGTCAGTCTGCTAAGCACTAGAGATTCCAGGAGGAACCAGACACACCCATGCTCACTCCCCTTTCTCCCTCGACGCCACTACTAGGCAAAGGGCAGAGTGGAAAGAAGGCAGCGCAGGAAGAGATCTGAATTCTGCTGCTGCCTCTTCCAGACTATGAGGTCTTGAGCAGGTTACTTAAGCTCTCAGAGCTTTAGTTTCATCAACAAACTCACATTATTTTTTCATCAATAATGTAAAACAGTGTGGTCCCTGGACCAGCAGCAGCAGCATCACCCAGGAACTTGTTAGAAATGCAAATTCTCAGGCCTCACTCCAGACCGGCTGACTCAGGAACACAGTGGCAGCAACTGTGTTTTCACAAAGCTTCCAGATGATTCTTAAGTTTGAGAATCACTGATATAAAGCATATAAAGTTCCCAGCCCAATAACTGGTACATAATAAATGCTCAATAAATGGTAGCTCTTAAGAAATTTAGCCTCATGGGGGAAGAGGACGTAAGCCAAAGGTCATAATTAGTCAATTAAGGTATGCAATTGTAGTTACTTCGAGTCTGATTTTTACAGAATAATAATGCTAAAGGGGATCTTAAAGATGATTTAGAGTTAGGCCAATGACTTTCAAAAGTATTATTATTTAAAATTCAGGAGCTCTTTCTAAGAACAAACGTAACTAAAAATGCCTAATTTCCTCTCCCTCCTTCTCTCTCTTCCTTCCTGCTTTCCTTCCTTCATTTTTTCCTTCCTCCCTCCCCCCTCCTTCCCTCCTCTCTCTCATTGTTCTTTCTTTGTTTCTTTCTAATTTGTTTTTACATAAATGGAATAATTTGGTGCAGAGGAATGGTCAGACAGAGCAAAGCAATAAAACTAAATTCACAAATAGAACCAAATACATACGGGAATTTAGAATTATAAAGGTGGGCATTTTAAACCCATGAGGAAAAGACAAATTATTCAATAAAATGGCACTGAGACAAATGGCTACCCATAAAAGAAATAAAGTTGGACTCCTACAGGACTTATTACACCAAAATATAGTTCATAAAGATCAAAGATTTTCATATAATAAATGAAACTATAAATGTAATGAGATAATGGGAAATTTTAAAAATAATCTTGGAATAGGAAAGACTTTTCTATGAATGCTGGATCATTCAGAAGCCATGATTTAAAAGATTGATAAATTTAACTTCATAAAAAGTTAAAATTTTATTATGGTATGAAACAAATAAGCCGTAAACATGATTGAAAGACAAATTGGGAAAAGATTTGTTCCAGGCACCGTTCCAAATCCAGCAGTGAACCAACCAGACAAAACCTCCTACCTTCATGGATCTTAATATTCTAGTGGGGACATTTTTAGGTGAGTGGCCCCATCAGACCTCCATAGCACTGGCCAAGCACAAGGGTGGTAATAGTCACAAAGGAATATGCTAATGGAGAGGAAGGAATGAGCCATAATGTAATTCAGGGGCTCTTAGTGGGTAAGTATGTTATCAGTGGTGGCGTCAGAATAAATAACTGGCAGTGGTGAATTCTAATTGCTGGAAGAAATTGCCACCTCCAGAGAAGCTAGTCCCTCCGTACCTGTAATCTGTAATTGTTATGCATCATTCATGCAGGATGCACTACAGACTGCCCTGAAATGCACTCGTTTGTCTACCTGGTTATCTCCTCCCCAAGGAAATTGTCAGCTCCTGGGCTATATCCATTTTTGTGTTTTCCATAGCTCCTTGCATGGTATCTTACATACAATAAACTCAATAAATATTAATCTGAATACTCGTTAACTTAAGTTATCAGCTCTGTGCCTTTATACAAGACCTTATAATTAACATAACACACACATAGCATTGGGGGATACACATATTATTAGACAGTCTTTAAGTTAACAAGTTAAGTAAAATTGAAAGGCAGGCACAAGGCAGAAAGGAAGGAAAGGAAAGGAAGGGGGGGAGGAGGAGTAGGGAGGAAGGAAAACGGGGCAGAGGAAGAAAGGGAGGGAAGAAAGGAGAGGCACGCTTTTTCTTACCTTTCTTCTTTGGTAAGACGGGCCAGTTTTCTGGCTTTGTGGGAAAGGATAAATCTAAAACATAGAAACAAGGAAAAGGGCAGAAAATTAATGGCTGCTTTCATCTTGACCTCATTTCTTTAGCTATACATATGGCTAGTGTAGAAGCTAAAAGTCAGCTAGAAGAAACAAATTATACACTAGCTTATTTTATGTTCAATGTTTTACTATTTATATATTACATTTCTGACACTGAAAGGCACCTTCTAGCTTTAGGGATTCAAGGGACAAAAAACAGATGACTGGCCATAGTTTCTCCCTAAGGTAATACTATGACTGACCCATCTCCCTCGACATGGGTAGTGAGAAATAGGAAGGAGCCCTGGGTCTCAAATGCTCATCTAAGGCCATGTCTGAGCCTTTCCAATTTCATCCAGCCCTTGCTCTTTCATTCTATCACATGATGGTGTCTCCCTAGTGCCCAGCCTTCTAGAATCCGCCTCCATTTCTAGCCCTATAATTGCCTTGAACTTAAGTGATCTCCATGTTAGGACCCTTGGCTCTCTCTGAAATAAACTTACGCATATCCTAGGGCCAATTTCAATTTCTGCTGCTCCACGTAATCACCCCTCTGGGCCAGGTTCTGGCCCCCAAGACATCCCCTATCTGTACTGGTCTTCCTTGCCAACCTGAGGACTGGGAGGGCCTTGGCTTCTCCCGAGTGGGACTCAGAAAATCTCAGCATCCCATGAAAATACCAGTGATGCCCACACACTGTCCACAAGAAGCCTTCTTAGTAAAACACTCTAACTGAGCTCTTGATATCATGCTTTCGCAAAAGATAGCTTACCAAAATATATCTACTCCCAGCACTAAATATAAAGCAGTAAATTAATATAACAAATTTTAAAACGTTATTGGTATTCTACTTCCTTTCTAAATATTTATTCATTGGAAGACATTATTTTTAAAAAAGGGAAAAAGAACTTTTCTACTGGTAGATTTGGAGAATAATTCCTTTGGATAAAAAGTTATTTAACAAAGTTTGGGGCACATTTGTTAATAGTATGTAATCTTGTCAACACTGAATAGCATCCACACCACAACAACCATGCCTTACCCCATTATGGCAGCATAGCTGCCATCAGGTTTGGTATCATCCAATGTGTAGGCAATTGGAGCTTCCTCTCCTTCAATAATCATGGTTCCACAGTAATCTTGGAGAACAGCAAAATGAAAGAAGATATTCATCGCCCTATCAAACTACCAATAGCAGTTAGAATGAAGCACAAATTTTTCAACTTAAGAAGCCCAAGGACGGAATGTAAGATACGAAGGCAAACCAAAATGATGTCAAAAGGAAGGCTCAGTAGTCAACATTTTGTGAAAAAATCAAACTGAAGGCCTTCTCTGCAAAGGATAAAGAATATGATATTATGAATTAATCCTGGCCACCAATTAACGCAATCTTGTTTTTCCTGCCATTAATACTTGTGTCCCCTATTTTCTCTTTCATAAGAAATCAGATAAAACCAAAGATGTGTAAAAGATTAGTAGATTATTAGTACATAGTACAGTAATAGACTAGTATATTACTGTAAAATAAAAGGAACTGAATGTTCGCATTTTACGAGGAGCCACTTAGTCTATGTTAACTGGAGACAGAGTAGAAAGGACATGGATAGCTAAAATCCACAGAGTCCCAAACCGTCATTTCAAACATGACCTCCAGAACAACTTGGGAAACAATTTCAGCTCATTCTGGACAAAAGCACTTCTCTCATTTCCCTCCTGAACAAAATATATGCAATTTCAACAAAAGACTATGACAGAGCAATGGTGAAAATGTCAGGGCAGAATTTGAAATGTTATAATAATATCCTACTACAGTGTACCACTCTTCCCTCTCCACCATTTACTTGCAAATTGAGGTTGTTTGAACAAAATTATGGTGGAAGACTCCGGAACAAATGTTGCATAGAAAATATAATAAGAGGGTTTCAAAATGAAGGAGAAAGAACAGAGACAGAACTTTGAGGGTATGCACCACCCCAACCTGTGTGTGAGCAGACACACCTGTAGGCCTTTTTACCTGCACCTGTTTCTCTCTCTCTCTTTCTCATCCCTCCCCACTGCCCATCCATGAGACTCAATGTGACAGTCAGCCACTGAATTGAGGGGTATTTGCATGTTCCTCAGGTGTGCCGGGGCAGGAAAAACATTGAGAAAAACTGAAATACGGAAAGAAGAGATGTTTAAGGTCTGTCCAAGACTCAAGAAGATTTAAGAATACAAGAGAAATAGCTAAGGAATCACCTGTTATAAGAAGACAAGAAAGAGAGGAGAAAAACAGGACAGGGTGTGATACGAGAAAAGAGCAAGTGCACACTGATCACGTAGGGGTCAGCTGGACCGAATGGAGGGTTAGCGGAAGACGCCAGCTGGCCGGGGTGGAGACCCTGCTTCTGGGTGGGCTCCTTGGACACTTCCTTCCCACAACAAAGCTGCCCTCTGCACTACGCAGGCGCACTGGGCGAAAGTGAAGGAACAAGGGGCAGAGAGAGGAGTCATGTTCATGCCCGGACAAACCATGAGGCATCAGTGGCATTTCTATTCTTTGTAGGCAGAAAGCTCAGGAGCCGCACTCATGCACACAGGACTTCCAGTTTGCTTTCTCTGCCCTCACTCTTAAAAAGGAAGGGGCATTCAAGGACATCTAAACATTTAACAAAGCCCTTTAACAGGAGAAGCAAAGACAAAAGCAGAAGCCAACTAACAACAAACAAGAAGGAATTCTTTTGAGTGTGGGGGTGTGGAGGGTGGAGTCCTGAGAAAAGGATCACGTTCATCTAGAAGAATAACTGAAGTTTACCAAGGACAAAATTACCAGAAAGATAACGAAGGGAGAATGTCCGACCAGATATCAAACATACTATAAAACCACAGTGATTAAAATACTACAGTGTGGTCACAGGACTAGATAATATAAACCTGCTCTCCAAAGTGGGGTGTGCCCACCTAGATTACACATCTAGGTAGTAGAGTAGGATACTAAAAATTCTTGTTTTTTAATTCAGCTTTTCAAAAAGTCTACTTTTATATATTTTATAATTATAACAATACATTTTTCAGAAGTCCATATACATAATTTAGGAATAAATATATACAGTGGTAGTTGATGTTTACATTTTTTTAATGTATAGGTCTACAAAAAATATCTGAAGCTCAATGACAAAGATCATTGGAATAGAACTGTTAGTCCAGAAAAGCCCCATGTATATATGAGAATTTAGTAGGGTGAAACCATCAGAAGCAAATTTTAAAAAACTGACACACCACAAGAAAATATTTACAACATATAAAGAAAAAAAATTAAAGAGCAAAGAATAGGTAATTTACAAAATGATTTAATATAACCCCTAAGCCTTATTAATGATAAAACTTACAAATTATAGATAAATGGGATATTTTCCCCTACTGATTGGCAAAAAGTTACAAATATTATTAGCTTGGTCTACCCAAGTCAATTGACTTCAAAATTCCACTTTTACAAACTTATCAAAAAGAAATGCTCTGTCACAAATCTGCAGAGCTATATGAAGGAAGCTGTTTATTGCAGCATGGTGTGTAATAGCAAAAACTCAGAAACAATCAAAACGCCTATCACCTGCAGACCTATTTGGCACATTGGGATAGAGCCTTACAGTGAAATACTGTTTATTCAGTTGTTGAAATGAGATAGATTTAAATGCAATGATGTGGAGAAATGCCTATGGCATACTATTAACAGGAAAAAGCAAATTTCAGCATAATATGTATCACGTTTTTAAAAAATAATGGTTTGGGGAAAATATATAATGTTTATTTAAAATTACATTTGCATATAAATGCTATACATATTCTTTAATATATATTTAAAGTGTATATATATGGCAATATATATGTACACATATATTTAAGGTATTACCTCTGCATACAATAAATCTCTAAGGATAAAAGAACTTAAATTTTCAACAGTGGTTCCCTAAAGGGAGGAGCAATATGAGGGAAATATTTTTCATATACTTTTATTTTTTGAAAGTTTTATAGTGAGCAAGTTTACTTCTGTAATTTTTTAAAGCAGGTATTGCTTCTGTCATTTTAAACATAAATTGATACAAATTAGATTTAAGGGAAAGTGTAAATGGTAAAGATGGGCAAAAGCAAGGAAGACTGAAAGGATTCAAGGTGTTGGTAACAGTGTGCTCTCTCCACATTAGTGGGGAGGGGAGCAAGTGTTGAGGTGGTTGTGATGGCTCCCGCAGGGATGCCAGGAGGGTGGGGCACTGATGGTCAGGGCAGCTGGACTCAGGACGACTTGGTGGAAGGTCAGCAGAGAAGAGAGGTCTCCTCATTGCAAATCCACAAAGATGTTACACACCAAGGGACTGGGAAGCACGTCCCAGGATAATCAATGTACAAGTAGTCAAGAACTGGCCTGTATCAAAATGCAAAATGTCCCCTTCTCTTTAATAACGCAAACCATAGCACACTTATAAAACAAAACAAAGCAAAGAAACAAACAAAAATCTTGAGCAATTGATTGCTGAGTGCCCATATGTGCTAGTCATTGTGGTAGGCTGCTTGGAGCTGTGACGTTCACTCCCTTTTGTCTCATTAGCTCATATTCCCTGAGCTTTTGTGTTACTTGTTAATTGCAGTGTCTTCAGCAGTGGCATTGATAGTCTGACGCAAAGACCCTGTTGTGAGAGTGGACTTCCTCAGCTTTCATTCCCTCATAGAATCCTTCAGAAAAGTGTTACTGAGAGCCAGCCCTGATGGCCTAGTGGTTAAAGTTTGGTGTGCTCCACTTCTGCAGCCCAGGTTCAGTTCCTGGTTGCGGAACCACACCACTCGTCTGTCAGTAGCCATGCTGAGGCAGCGGCTCACATGAAAAACCAGAAGGACTTACAACTAGAATATACAACTATGTAGTGGGGCTTTGGGGAGTCAAAAAAAAAAAAAGAGAGAGAGGAAGATTGGCAACAGATGTTAGCTCAGGGCGAATTTTTCCCAGGAAAAAAAAAAAGATAAACTAGGTAATCGAAACACTAAATTATAAAAAAAAAATTGTTATTCAATCACTTAACAATTTAACAGGAATCATATTGGGTGTGAGTTTTGGAGCCCTCCTCTGTGTTTCTATAATCGCCTAGGTAATGCCAACATTGAACTCAACACGTTGTCATGCAATTATCAGTTTACATGACTGTCTTCCTCCCGAGTCTGGATTTTCTGGGCAAGGAAACATGCCTTTGAATTCCCATTGCCCATCATGGCACCTGTCATACAACTGGCGCTCAACAGTGGTCAGTTGAAGAAACACATTACTACAGTAACTCAAAAGAAACTGAACATGCTTTGGTGAGGCTGTCATGTCTACAATCATTTGTTAAACTGTTAGTCAAGTCTCATTACCAACAAAGGCCTAGTCAGGCCAAGCCTCTTCTTGAGGGTAGAGAACTTGGGTTTTCTTTTTGATACTAGTACCTACCATGAACTTGCCTAGGACATAGCAGGCCTAAGACAAAGGTTTGCAGACATGAATGGAAAGTTACAGATTCTCTCCACAAATAAAGGCATTCAAAATCCTTAAGAGAAAAATCCTTACTCCATGGTCCTAAACCCTATCTACTTGCCACAAGCCAGCTATCTAAAATGAGTGACCTGGGTCATGAGAGGAAGCATCTTGGCCCCAGCAGGCTCTTCACCATACGTCACTGCACCGTCCTTTGCAAAAGATAGATTACTTGTTCAACTGATGCACCAATCCAATAATAGTCCTAAATAGGATTTCCTGCAAAGGTGGAGAATCAGGAGGCTGCGATATGGCTGAGAAAGGGTAGGCAGAGGAAGAACGCCCCGAAGGTAACACCGTGAAACTCCCTCTTTGCCTCCAGCGCAAGCTTCTTCCTGTGGTTTAGTTCCTCATTCAGTCCATCCTTCCCTTTGCCCTCAGTCCCAGCTACCGACTCAAGTAGCCTCCTCTTGGAAGAAAAGTGGATGTGATGAGAGTAAATGTGATAAGACTCCAGCATGGTGCTGGCCAATACAGTAGCTGTGAGCCGCAGGTGATTTTTTACATTTGAATTTCAAGCAATTAAAATGAAATAAAACTGAAAATTTTGGTTTGGCAGTCTCACCAGCTACATTTCAAGTGTTCAATACCCACACGTGGCTAGTAGCTGCCGTACTGGGCACAGCAACTCTAGATTTCCAGCATTGCAGAATCTAGCACTTCAGTGGGCATCCCCACAATGTTCTACCCAGTACAGTAGCACACTTGTTGAATATATAGGAATGAATAAGTGAATTTAACTCAGAATAGTAGAATCTCGACATGAAGGAGAAATTGGAAATTTTCAGAATCCCCACTTTGTGAACGGTTCTATAAACTCATACTTTAAAAAACTGTATTAGAAAATGTTAATAATCTATTTTTGTGGGAAGATTAAACTTTATATTGAATTATAAAAAGAGTTGATCATATTCCAAGGGAAGTTGTTTCCATGAGTTTGCGCCAATATATTTTATTTGACAGAACTGTACTTAGAACTTGGTCTAATGTTTTATGTCCAGCATTCTAATAAAAATAGTTACATGCAAATGTGCGTCTTTGCACCCAGGTTCTTGGACCTTCTCCCCAAGGTCTTCATTTAAGGAAAGTACTCACCTTTTTTCCTCCAGAAGGGCTCTTTATAATAAACCATGCACTTGATTACCGAACCCAAAGGCACACGAGTGATCAGCTGGTTTCTCATCATTGGGAGAGGGGGTTTGAAATGAATCTTCATGCCCAGAATAGGAGGAACAGCGCTAATCACATACTTAGCCTGGAAGAAAAACAACATGGTTAAACATTGTTGGTGGGTTGTTTTTGCTTTTTTTCCTAATGTTTCTCCCTCATTTTATCCTTGTCCCAGCCTTTAGTCTCTTCTTAACAGAGAAGCTGGAAGGATCTTGTTAAAACCAAAATAAGCCCTTATTGTTCCCTAGTTCAAAACCTCCAATGCCTTCCCATCACACTTAGAGTCAAAGCCAAATTCCTCACAGTCATCTCCAAGGCTATACATGAAACGGACCCTTGTTACATCTCTGATCTCATCTCCTGTTACTCTTCCCCTCACCCCTCTTACTTCTGCCATTTTGTCCACCTTGCTGTTGCTTCATCATGCCAGGCTTGCTCCTACCTCAGGGCCTTTGCACTGGCTGTTCCGTCTACCTGTAACACTCTTACCCAAGAGAGCCACATGGCTCAATCCCTCATCTCTTTTGGTTCTGTGCTTAAATATTACCTTTTCAAGTGAGGCTTTCCCTGACGACCTTATTTAAAATTGCATGACCAATCCTCCCACCCCACCTTCTGACACACCCTCTCTCCCTTCCCTGCTTGATTTTTTCCACAGCACTTATCACTATCTAGCATACTTTATATTTCAACTCTATATTTGATCGTGGCCTTTCTCCTTCACTAGAATGTAAGCCACATGAGGGCAGATAATTTTATCTGTCTCGTTCACTGCTACACTCCCAAATCATAGGAGGCACTTGATATTTATCAAATCAATATTTTCTTTGGTTTTCTAATTATGTAGGAGCCCAATACAGAGGGTTGATAATGTGTATCTTTATAAATCCTCCCCAACCCCAAATATTCTTGTTCTCTTTTCCATTCTTTCAGATAGAGGTAGCTTTTCCATTTTGACAAAGAGATTGTGAAGTCTGGCACCTTCTTGGCTTTACTTAAGCTTTGGTTATTTAAGAGTTCACCTTTCTGAGGAGACATTAGAATAAGTAGAGAGGGCACAGGATGAGATAGAAAAGGCAGGCATGGGCCCCTTAGTTTAAGGCTCTTGGTCACCTCATACACTTCATGGTTCAGGGTCTCCACAAGGACATGTTCTCCTGTCTGGTCAATGTGGGTCACAGGCCTCTCCAGCTTCACCCGGTCCCCGAGGAGGTCCATTATCCGCTCGCTCACTTGACCAGAACCACCTAGAAATTTCCTCTCCTAGAAAGAAAAAAGGACTCAAGAGGTGGGCATGAAATATAAGAATGGGAATAAACCATTAAGTTGCAAGTTTTCTTTGCATATCTTTACATGAGATGTATAAAATCTCATTTTGCTGTTGTGAATAGTGTCTTTCATCGTTTTCTAACTAGTGATTGCTGGCTTTTGACAAAATTGCAGGTTTTCTAACAGTCCCCTTCCAAGCTATGCTCTTACGGATTCCCAGGCTCCAACCTCAGCTGGACATCCTCAGCCTTACCCCCTTGTCCCACCTGCGTGGCCACTACCCCTGCTCCATGCCCTATCTGCATCGTTTTGTTGGGTTGCTGGGTCTGATGGAGCCCTACCTACCGCTGGGCCACTGCTTGCCTGAGCATATTGGAGCCTGTTTTCCTCTTCCTTGTCACTCAGGCTCAGAACCTCCCTGGCCCACCCACCCCCAAGTCAGCCTACCCCCTGTTGCAGGCTGCCCACCTCATCCTGGGTCAGGTGCCTGCTGCTTCCGTGGCCACCGAGGTCATTTCACCTCATTGCACCCACCTGTCCTGAGCCCTGCTAAAACTTCCAAATGTTCTGCATGGTTGTGCACACAGTCAATCTGACTGCCTCCTCCTTAATTTTCAGTTCAGTTAATTTTTTAAAACACTATTTCAAATAGGCCTAGGAAGAAGAAGGAAAAGGAGAAGAAGAAGAGGAAGAAAGGGAGGAGGAGGGGAAGAAGGAGGAGAATGAGGAGGAGAAGCAGGGAGGAAGAGGAAGGGAAGAAAAGGAAAATGACTACCAAGCAGATGATGTAAGAACTCTAATCCACTTCCTACTGTGCCTAGCACAATGCCTTATACAATGCTCAGGAAATAGGCAATGAATGAATGAATAAATTTATTCTATGTAGTGTGTATGTTTTAAATTGAAAAAGCATTTCTGACTTTCCTTGTTGAGCTTTCCAAGAAGTGCTCAAGTTATGTTTGTCAGATGGTCTCCTACGATCTTACCAAATAATAATTGGATGTATATCCAAGTGGAATACTGCAAAAAGTACATAAAAAGAGACAAGCCTAATCTTAAAATTACATTGGCTGCTGAGTTCTCACACTGGGTACCTAACAAGAGACTGTCACTTACACGAGCCACCTTGAGCTGCCATGGTAAAGCTCTAAAAGCCACAAGCCTGCCTCCTGCTTCATCTGTTCATGCTTGAAAGATGATGCCAATCTTTCATTTAGGCAGTGGTGGCTTTCTGTTGAAATGGTCGGGGGATAGATGGGTACCTGCCCTCCATTGGTTGTCGAGATGATCCTGGTTGTGCCCCCACACTGCTTCACATACCACAGGAACCAGAGAGCAGAGACCTCATGGGTCTCTGCAGTGACACACAGATTCACAAAGAGAGTAGCAAGCTGCTTCGCAGATCTGCTCAGAAAGAAACAAGAGTAAAATTGGCAAATGCAGGAGAGCATCTTCTTCGTTCTCTGGAAATTATTCAAGCAATAAATTTACCTGGCTAAGTTTAGCACAATTTGGCAGGTCACAGAAAACTGTCAGTAGAATCCAATATTATAAAGCATGACATCAGAGATTTGGGGAATATGAGGTTTATTGTCCCCATAACCAGAATACCTTACTCAGAATCAGCTTGTATTCCATATTCTGTGCTGTCATGATTTCTGCCCACACACCTGCTACTCTTCCAGTGATCTCCATCTCAGTAAAAGGCATCACCGTTCACCCAACTGCCAAGGCCAACACTCTAGAAATCAGCCTTAATTTCTCTCTTTCCATCACTCTCTCCCCATCCAACCCACCAGGAACTCCTGTTGTCTCTCACCACATCACTCCACCTTCATCACAACCAATTTAGCATCATCTCTTGCCTGGAGCATTGCAATTATTTCCTCCAGATCAGCCTCTCTGCCTCTACTCATCCTCACCTAGTATCTATTCACCACACCTCCCCTCCATGGTGCTCTTTCTCTAGTGTAAATCAAGTCACGTCCTTCCCCTGCTTAAAACCTTCCAGTGGCATCCTATCAAAACCGGAATAAGATCCAGATCTTTTACCATGGCCTCCAAAGCCCTGAGTGATCTAGCCCATGCCTACCTTTTCTATCTCATCCTGTGCCCTCTCTACTTATTCTAATGTCTCCTCAGAAAGGTGAACTCTTAAACATCTATGAAAGTGTGCACCAGTTTCCACATTCCCAGCACCCTGACATTCTTGTCATTTTACCACAGTATAATATCTTTATAAGTCTTTTCACTTTCTTATATTATCTTGATTATTATTATTTTTTATTGCTGTCTCTATTGCACACTAGAATATCAACCAACGAGAACAGGGATCTTGACTTTCTTGTTCACTATAGTGTCCCCTTTTAATAAAATAGTGACTGGCACATAGTAAGCACTTAATAATTACTTGTTGGATGACTGACTGAATGAATGGTTGATGAGAAATATCAATTAAATATTATTTTTAAATTATCCACAGTCCACAAAGGATATGCTAGTTGCTGTACCACACAGTCATAGTTATCTATTCACTTATTTTACTACCAAATAGAAGACAAGCTCAAAGGATGGATGAGGGGGAAAGCAATTAACAGAACACAGATAGCTTAACTTTTGCTTGGGGTTGGCAAGCAAATCGTGAGAAGTTATTTCCTATCTGGAGGCACACCAGAAAGTGAATGATCTCATGCAATTCCAACGACTCAATTAAATCTAACACACCCTAAAATTCACCAGTAATAATGTGTACTCTGGGATATCTTTAACAAGGACAAATCCCCCTTTTCACTTTGACATAAAGTTTGCATGTTATTAATCTTGTTATATCTGAGACAGAATTTGTCACCTGGTAGTTCTGACAATGGGTGGAATAAATAATACTCTCTTCCATTTATTGAAGTCTTTCACACTTCATGGTTTTTAAATCTATTGTCTTATTGGATTGTCATAAGAACTCTATAAAATAGTTATTGTTTTTCCCCAGCTCACAAGCCCAGAAACTGGATCTTAGAGAGGTTAGTAATATGTAGTATACAGCTCAGTAAATGGTACAACTTCAAACCAGATCATACCTGATTCTAACCTCATGCTTTTAATACCTCAAAATGCTTTATAATTAACTGACGATCTTGAAAGTGCAAATACTCACCAAAGGGCACCTCTCTACTCTTGTGTACCTTGACTCTGAAAGTTTGTAGAATCACATCTAACACACATTTCAGTTACTAACAATGTTTGCAGCCATAACAACCTGACAGCACTTTTGTGACAGTCCCCGTCATTTAGCCTGCAAATAGTGTAATATATATGTTGAAGTGATTTCGTTTTATAAGATTCCTCTTGATAACCAAAGGGATGGAAATTGCTGACTCGTGCTTTCTTCGCAGAGGCAGTTTGCAGTAGCTATCTAAAGCAAATATCCAGACAATGGTTTAAAATATTACTTCAAAGTGAAAACATCCTTTGCTATTTCCTGATGTCCTGTTTCTTTTGTTCCTTATTTTATAGGTGAATTAGGGCAGCATAAGGTAAAACGGAGTAATAAGTAACTAAAACTTAACATTGGCCCAGCTAGACAGCCAAAATGAAACATAAAAATATTGCTGCAATTCTAGTTATTATTGTTGCCAATTTGGTGGAGAAAAAATAATCCTGGTTTGAAATGGAGGGAGATCTAAAAGTAATTCTCTGTGGAGGGCCAGGCCATTTGTAATCCTTTATTTGATTTACTCTGGGAGCTTTAGTGAGAAAAGAAATGAGAAGAACAATATCTGAGGGATGGAAGGTCAAGGAAGCTAGTGCAATAATATTTTCGTGTTCTTTCCCCTGTTGATTTTTAAAAGATAAATGCTATTATATTTTTCTACATGAAAAATATATAAAAGCTCTATAAAATTTGGAAAAATTCATAAAATAAAAAGGTAAGAGAATGAGCATCTTCCATATTTCTGTCCCCCAAAAGATAATCGCTAGTCTCATTTTAGTGCATTTTCTTCTAATTATAGGTTTTAAAAAGTGTATTTACATAGCTGTGACCATGTTGTAAATTTAATTTGTGCTTCTGAAAAGCACTTTATAAATGAGAAGAACTAAAAGAATGATCAGCATTAGTCTTTGAATGCATGATTGTGCTTAGTTTGAACAGGTTGGATATTCTGGGGTTTACTTCTTTTAAAGCTAGGAAATGATATCATGTATATCTTGCTTGGGAAAAGTTAGACCATTACCTTGTATTCATATATTCCTAATATCTCAGAATGCTTTATTTTGTCAGCCAATAATCTAGAATATTCACTAAGGGGAGACTAAGCCAAGGACTATGATATAAAAAGTCAGATCTCTATGATCCCAAAGGAATATAATTAGTCCCATCTTCAAGGAGCTTCAAAGCTCTCTGGGGAGAAAAGACCTAACTGAATTTATTAAAAGTTTTTCATAACAGAAATTATAAAACAAATCCAGATGATTAAATACTCACTGTATTTTGAAAATTTAATGTAACAAATTTAAAAGTAAACACTGAGATTTTATTACAATCAAAATAAGTTACATTGCAAACTACATTCTCAAAAAAAGTGGTAAATAGCAATAGATAGGTGTTTAAAAGGATATAATAGGCATTGATTTCATGGTAATAACAGGATTTTACTATTCCATAATTGGTTGCTTTCAAAGGTTAAAGACATAGGAGAAACACAAAAATGTTTATCACAAAGTATTATGTAATAATTATGAAAAACTGGAAGTAACCCAAATGTCCAACAGGATGCTAACAGATAAATAAATTATGGTATTCACTTCCCATGGAACATTCTCCCACCATGAAATATGGTGTTTGATGAAGCATTTTTAATGATATGTTTGCATTGTAATATTAAGTGTTAAAAAACATTTTGTTGGATGTCTATTTCTTTTGCGGTGCATATACAGTTTCCTTTTTAGAAATGAGATCACATATCACACTATGCATACTCTATGAGTATGCTCATCGAACATGCTTTTCTATGTGTTTAATATTATGATATTTTTCAAGCCATTAAATATTCTTCTACAACATGATTTTAAAAGACTATAGAGTATTCCATTCTTCAGATGTCCCATAATTAATTTAACCAATCTTCTATTATTGGACATTTCGATTTTTCTTTTAAAAATAATGCTTTTAAAAATAAGAATCTTTCTCCCTCTCTCCCTCTCTGTATGCCTTTCTCCCTCTCTTCTTTTCTTTCTCCTTCTTTAAGCTAAATTCTAAGTTGAATTTAAATATCAAGAAGTAAGTAAATTTTGGGGTTGGCACAGTGGCATAGTGATTAAGTTCCCACATTTTGCTTCGGCAGCCTGGGGTTTGCAGGTTCGGATCCCAGGCACAGACCTACACACTGCTTATCAAGCCATGCTGTGGTGGCGTCCCACATACAAAATAGAGGAAGATTGGCACAGACGTTAGCTCAGGGGTAATCTTCCTCAAGCAAAAAAAGGAAGATTGGCAACAGATGGTCGCTCAGGGCCAATCTTCGTCACCAAAAAAAAGAAGTAAATTTTATGTCTTTTGATTATTTCCATATCTTAGATTCAGATATCCCTAAAAACTCATTTTTACTTTTAGTTGTCAGTGCTCCAGCTTCCCTCCCCAATACCTAGAGAATGAAAGAATGAAGACATCAACCCCAGAGCCAAACGTATTTCCAACTAATGCTGTTTTGCATGAGAGGACAGTTTCCTTGAACTTGGCTTCCCTTTCTCTTACTTTATTTACCACAAATTCACCATGTGCTTGGACTAGAACCTTTGCAATCCTTTCCTTTTTCCCTGCTGTCCAAGAGCAGTGTGGCCTCTCCATGTTGTCTGTCTATATAGCCTCCACAATTTATACATAGTTCCCAGCTCTGTCAGCCAGAATTTAACGCTTGATTCATGAATACTTGCTTTGAATGCTACGTGTTTTTTTCATTAAAGAGGAGCAGTCAGTCCAGTCATACATGTTTCCTCTACAGTTGTGAATTATCCAGACAACTTCTCTAGAAGTTCCTCTTCAAATTCTTGAAGAGTTGTACCCATCCCATAAGATGTCTCAAATGCATTTGCTAACTCACCATCTCTACACTTGACCACCAGTAAGAGTACAAAAGTATTCCTATATCGACAACCCTATAAACGAGATCTCTAGGCTGGTGGTCTTTAAACTACTCTAAGTAAAGGAGGCAGCACATTCTGGTCTGTTTTGAGGACTTTTTGGGGTAATACCACCTCTGTGATGCAAAACTATTCCAAAGAAGTGGGTTTAATGCACAGACATTTTTAAAGCAGGACCCAGTTCCAATAGTTTTCAACATTCCACCTGGCCAAATGGCATGGTTTTAGACACAAAGCAGCTACTAGCCCCATACCTATTGAATGGCATTGCCAAGCAAACCTGAAAGACGATCACAATAAATGTCTGTGCCTAATGGTGAGTCTTACTCAGTCCAGCAGATCTTGTCCAGCAGCTCCTTCATCGTCATGTAGTCCCACTCCTCTGCAAGGGGTGCTTTCCATGGGGCATCACTGGGAATCTACATTCAGATGAGGATTCAGAGGGGAAAAACAAATCTAATTTTCCATTTTAAATAACTATTTCAACAGTATTAGACACTGTAACTTAAAGAAGGAAAATGCAAGTTTTCCAAATTCCCCCAATAGTGACTTTTACTGCACAGCCAATGTTGTCTGTGTAGCTTTCCTATTATAGATCTATAACACTCAATCCACATTTATGATGACACTTCCTGCACAATAAATGGAGGCTATGTTGTATTTGGGCTGTTTCCAAATATTGATTATTAAGTTTCTAATTGAGAGAACATTCAGACATCTGCACCAAATCACATCTAAATTGGAGTTTCAGGTCAAGCTCTCTGCGTGTTTACTCGTGGGCTGCAGGTTTAAGCATGGCAGCGACTCAAACACCCAGAACTCTTATTTTGCTATGTCCTGAGGATTTTCTAAATTAGAAACATCATCCCAGGAAGGCCGAGTGATGTATGATCTTCTCCCCTTCATCAGTGGTATACAAATAGCAGTCTGGTGAACATCTCATTCTTTTAAAGGTTAGAAACAAGTTTCTTCACTCATTTCACAAATCTTTACTGAGAGTTACTATGTGTTAGACAATGTACTAGGCATTGGTGATAAGTTGCCCCCTCTTTCTTTGAAGGACTAAACTTATTATGAAAAACACAAATGTAGTGAAAGAAGCTTTAGGAAGCTTTACCTCTCGTCCCATGTCATCCATTGTCCTCCAAAGGTTGTTATGATCTAGGTAGGCAATTGGATTCCACGCAGGTGGGAATGGGCCCCTGAAGGGGTATGATTTGGCCTGTGAGACACAAAATATTTTTAAAAGGAAACATTTACAATGTAAAAGTAGTCAAATCTGCCAAGTAGGTAAATGTCTGCAAGCAAAATCACGTTAGTTATCAATACGTGATATATACTCAAGTATTTTAGTTCCTTGTGTCCTCAGAACCCTACTTAACTTTTTAGTATAGAGATTTCCAACATCAGTCTCTGTTACTTAAATAAGTTGGCTGCCACAACAAACACAATAAAAAGGTTTCTGTCTGAAATTGGGGCCCTTACCATGTAAAATTTAAACACCAGTACAGAAGTGGGGTTACCTAAAGTAATCTCATTTGTCAAGGTACTTGCAAATATCTCAGAGTCAGGAGACCCTGTGTGCCTGAAGGGTCAGAAAATTACGACTATAAACATTATACAAGTTAGAAGGGGATGAAACACCAATTGTAAGAATGCAACCATCTGTAGAAAAAGCCACAAAACTGGGCCCAGAAAGCTCGCCCAAGAAATCCGATGTGCTAGGTCAACACAGGAGTTCCCAGAGATCAATAAGGTCAAAGCAGAAAGAAGAGACAACTTCATACCTCTCCTCAGGACATGTTTATACTACCTGGTTCTCCTGGTAGGGCAGGGACACCTTGACACAGAGATAAAGGGAACACACCTCTCCAAGGATTAATAATAAGCAGCCTCTAAGTCATCTCTGGGAGGCTTGACTAGTTGACGGCAGTTAAGGGACATGCACAAAAACCACTTTGGGTGTCTCTCCCACTCTCACTCTCTCTATACATACATATACGTACATGGAGCGGTGGTCGGGGAGGGAGATTTATTTTAAGGAATTGGGTCACACAATCATGGAGGCTTGGTGAGTCCAAAATCTGCAGGGTAGACTGGCAGGCTGAAGAGCCAGAGAAAAGTTGCAGTGCAAGTTCAAAGGAGGTGGTCTGCTGACAGAATTCCCTCTTCCTTGGGAGACCTGTCTTTTTCTATTAAAGCCTTCAGCTGATTGGATGAGGTCCACCCACACTATGTAGGTAACCTGTTTTACTCAAACTCTATTGATTTAAGTGTTAATCTCATCTAAAAAATACCTTCACAGAAACATCTAGAATAGCCTTCCACCAAATATCTGGGTATTGTAGCCTAGCCAAGTTGACACATAAAATTAACCATCACACTTCTTAGTTAACTTTATTAAGGTGTAATTTACATATAATGTAACCATTCTTAAATGTATGATTCAGGGAATTTTGGCACATGTATGCACCCATGTAACCACCACCACAACCAAGATATAAAACATTCCCATCACCCTAGAAAATTCTCTCTTGCCCCTTTCTCAGTCAATCCCTGCCCCTACTTTCTTTTTTTTTGGTGGTTATACAAAATGAAATAGTAACTTTAATTTGTGCTCACACAAGTGTTACTTCCAGGTTGTTTTTACATCTCTTATTTTTTTTTTCAGTTTTATGGAGATATAATTGACCCAGAGCATTGTATAAGTTTAAGGTATATAGCATAATGACTTGACTGATATATATTGTAAAATGATTACCACAATAAATTTAGTTAACATCCATGATCTCATATGATACAAAAAAGAGTTTTAATGGTTTTTTCCATGTGATGAGAACCTTTAGATTTACTCTCTTAGCAACTTTCAAATATACCATACAGCAGTGTTATCTATAATGATCATGTTGTACATTACATCCCCAGTACTTCTTATCTTATAACTGGAAGTTTGTACATTTTGGAGTTTGCTTTGTTTGTTTTTAGGTTCCACATATAAGTGAGATCATACGGTATTTGTCTTTCTCTGATTTATTTCACTTAGAATAATGCCCTGAAGGTCCATCCATGTTGTCGCAAATGGCAGAATTTCCTTTCTCACGGCTGAATAATATTCCATTGTATATATATATACCACATCTTCTTTATCCATTCATCCATTGATAGACACTTAGGTTGTTTCCATGTCTTGGTTATTGTAAATAATGCTGCAATGAACATGAGGGTGCAGATATCTTTTCAAATTAGTGTTTTCATTTCTTTTGGATGTATACCCAGAGGTGGGATCATATCATAGTTCTATTTTTAATTTTTTGAGGAACCTCCATACTATTTTCTACGATGGCTACACCAATTTACATTCCCCCAACAGTGCAGAAGGGTTCCCTTTTTTCCTCATCCTTGTTAACACTTGTTATTTCTTGTCTTTCTGATCATAGCCATTCTAACAGGTGTGAGGTGACATCTCATTGTGGTTTTGATTTGCAATTCCCTGATGATTAGTGATGTTGAGTACCTTTTCATGTGCCTGTTGGCCCTGCCCCCTTTCTAGCCCCAGACAACCACTGATCAGTTTTCTGTCACTATAGATTGGTTTTGCCTGTTCTAGAATTTTTTTAAAAAATGGAATCATACAGTATGTGCACTTTTATCTGGCTTATTTTTCTCAGCATGATGTTCTTGAGGTTCGTCCCTGTTAGAGTTCATTCCTTTTTATTGCTGAGTAGTAGTCCATCATATGGATGTACCATGGTTTTTTTATCCATTCCCCTGTTGATGACTATTTCCATTTTCGATCTACTGTGAATAAAGCTGCTATGAATGCTCCTGGGCAAGTCTTTTTGTGTACAGATATTTTTCTTTCTCTTGGGTAAATGACTAGGAGTGAAATAGCAGAGCTGTATGGTGGGTGTATGTTTAACTTTTTAAGTTAAACATTTTCCCAAAGAGGTTGTACCACTTCACATTATCACCAGCAATGTATGAGAGTCCTACTTGTTCCATGTCCTGACCAGTGCTTATGGACTTTTATGCTTTAAATACAGTTTTGATTTTAGAATAATAGATTGACAGATAAGTTTGCAGATATAGTACAGAAAATGTCCATATACCTCTCAACTAATTTTCCCTAATGTCAGCATCATACATTATCGTGGTACATTTATCAAAACCAGGAGACTGGTACATCACTATCTACAAAACTTCGGGCATTATGTCGACTAATGTACTTTTTCTGTTCCAGGATCCCATGCAGGATACCACATTACATCTAGTCATCAAGTCTCCTTGGTCTCCTCTGATCTGTGACAGTTGCTCAGTCTTTCCTTGTTTTTCATGACCATGACAGTTTTGAACAATATTGGTCAGGTATTTTGTAGAATGTCTCTCAATTTGGATCTGTCTGGATTTTTTTTTTTTTAGATGGGGGTTGTGAGTTTTGGGGAGGAATACAACAGAGGTGAAGTGCCGTTTTCATCACATCACCTCAGAGGGCATGTGATAGCCACATAACTTATCGTTGGTGATGTTAACCTTGATCTCTTGGTTAAGGTGGTATCTGCCAGCTTTCTACACTGGAAAGTTACTATCTTTCTCTTTCCATGCTCTGTTCTTTGGAAGAGAGCCACTAAATTCAGTCCACCTTCAAGAGTAGATGGGAGGAATTAAACTCTACTTCCTGGAAGGAGAGTATCTACATAAAACTTTTAACTTCTTCTCTAAGGAAGATTTGCCTTTTCCCCCCCCTGTTACTTATTCAGTTGTTTATCTATATCAGTATAGAGTCATATATATATACTTTATACTTTGTGTCATAATCCAATACTAATTATTTATTTTGCTGCTTAAATTGTTCCACCTGTGGCCATTGGGAGCTCCTTCAGGTTGGCTTCTGTGTCCTTTGGGCATGCTCCCATCCTTTTGTTTCTTGAGCGCTTTCTTCATTTCTGGCACTAGAAACCAGGCTCATCTTCTATTGTCACTGCCCCAGCCACAGGATCTGCCATTTCTCCAGGGAGTCTTCACTCCTTTTATCAAAAGAATGGTATTTAGAAGCAACTTCCGGCTGCTAGGAGTATTCTAGCTTTTTTTTAGAAAAAAAAAAAAAACCTTTATTGAGATATAATTTACATGCCACAAGATACAATTTGCATGCTGATTTTTAAAACCCCTACTTATGCCTCTATCAGAGTTCAGCACATAGTACTCCGTAGAAACCTGTGGATTAATCCATGGGATTATTCTCCACAAAAGACATGTGTATCCTGATTCCATCTCTGCCTCTCCCAAGCTGACTAACACAGAGAAAGTGAGTTTCTTAATCTCCCTGGGCCTTTGTAACTCAATATCTCTTGGCCTCATCATCTTCCTCCAGGAAGTATGCCCAGATTACCATAAACAGCTTGGTTGGGTGGCCTTCTCAGTGTTCTAAAGCTCTCCATTCAACTTCCACCTGCCACTAACTCCACTGCACCAGTTCCATGCATTTACCATTCTGTGTTACCTCTTGGGCTCTAAGATGCAAGAGCATGGGCTCTAGAGCCTGCCTATCTGGGTCAAGTCATGGCTCTGCCTCTCACTAGCTGTGTTAAGTTGCTTAACTCCTCTGTGCCTTAGTTTACTCATGCGTAAGATGGAATGACAATACCTACCAAATAGATGCACTGGGAAGATGAAGTGAGTTGATCTATGTAAGTCAATTTGAACAGTGGCTGCCATGTTGTAAGTTCTCAGTAAATGTTGTTGTTATTGTTACTTCAGCTGCTACTGTTGTGATTATAATCTTTGCACGCCTAGGACCTGTTGGCATAGATTGCTGGCACATAGAAAGTTCACAATAATTGTTTGCTATCATCTCAGTTGTTTGACCTTGAACTTGTTATTTATTTGACACACAATGTCCTGATTTCTAAAATGATCTTTTGTACTTAGGTTTTATCTTAGTCCATTTGGGCTGCTATTACAAAATACCATACACTAGGTGGCTTATAAACAACAGACATTTATTTCGCACAGTTCTGGAAGCTGGGAAGTCCAAGATCAAGGGGCCAACAGATTTGGTGTCTGGTGAGTGTCTGCTTCCTGGTTCACAGACGGCCATCTTCTTGCTGTGTCCTCACATGGAAGAAGAGACAAGGAAGCTCTCTGGAGTCTCCATCTTCTTGCTGTGTCCTCACATGGAAGAAGAGACAAGGAAGCTCTCTGGAGTCTCCATCTTCTTGCTGT